AGGACAGTGAAAAGAGCGTGCAGCAAGCTCACTGCCCTGGTCTTCAAGAGAGCAGACTTTGGCCTCTTCAGGAACCTGCTTAGTAAGGTTGCATGGGATACAGCCCTAGAGGGCAGGGGGGCACAAGACTGTTGGTTGATATTCAAGGATCACCTGCTCCAAGCTCAGGAGTGTTGCATCCCGACTAGAAGGAAGTGCAGCTGGAGGGCAGGGAGACCTCCTTGGATGGATAAGGAGCTGCTGAGGAAAATTCAAATGAAAAAAGAGGCTTATAATAAGTGGAAGCAAGGACAGGGGGTCTGGGAAGAGTACAGGGATGTTGTCTGGGAAGCTAGGGACCAGGTTAGGAAAGCTAAGGCTCAGTTAGAATTAAACTTGGCTAGGGATATTAAAGATAACAGGAAGGGATTCTACAGGTACATAGCAAATAAAAAACACACTAGGGAGAATGTAGGCCCCCTCAGGAAGCTATCAGTAGAACTGGCTACCCTGGATTTTGAGAAGGTTGAGGTTCTGAATGACTTCTTTGCCTTGGTCTTCACTGGCAAAGGCTCTGACCAAACCACCCAAGTCTTGGAAGGCAGACACAGGGACTGTGAGAATGAAGACCTTTGGCCCACTGTAGGAGAGGATCTGGTTCGAGACCATCTTAAAAATCTGAATGTGCACAAGTCCATGGGACCTGATGAAATCCATCCATGGCTCCTGAAGGAGCTGGCAAATGAAGTTGCGAAGCCACTGGCCATTATATTTGAGAAATCATGGCAGTCAGGTGAAGTTCCCGATGACTGGAAAAAGGGAAATATAACCCCCATTTTCAAGAAGGGGAAATGGATGACCCAGGGAATTACAGAGCAGTCAGTCTCACCTCTGTGCCTGGCGAAATCTTGGAGCAGATTCTCCTGGAAGGCATGCTAAGGCACATGAAAATCAACAAGGTGCTTGGTGACAGCCAGCATGGCTTCACTAAGGGGAAATCCTGCCTGACCAATTAGGTGGCCTTCTATGATGGGGCTACAGAACTGATGGACAGGGGTAGAGCAGTTGATGTCATCTACCTGGACTTGTGCAAAGCGTTCGACACTGTCCCACACGACATCCTTGTCTCTAAATTGAAGAGACACCAATTTGATGGATGGACCACTCGGTGGATAAAGAACTGGCTGGATGGCCTCACACAGAGTTGTGGTCAATGGCTCAATGTCCGGCTGGAGACCAGTAACAAGTGGTGTCCCTCAGGGATCGGTGTTGGGACCGATCTTGTTCAACATCTTCGTCGCTGACATGGACAGTGGGATTGAGTGCGCCCTCAGCAAGTTTGCTGATGACACCAAGCTGTGTGGTTTGGTTGATACCCTGGAGGGAAGGAATGCCATCCAGAGGGACCTTGACACACTTGTGAGGTGGTCTGATGCCAACCTCATGAAGTTTAACCATGACAAGTGCAAGGTCCTACACCTGGGTCAGAGAAATCCCAGGCACAGCTACAGGTTGGGCAAAGAAGATTCAGGGCAGCCCTGAGGAGAAGGACTTTGGGGTGTTGGTTGATGAGAAAATGAACATGAGCAGGCAGTGTGCGCTCGCAGCCCAGAAAGCCAACCATATCCCGGGCTGCATCAAGAGGAGCGTGACCAGCAGGTCGAAGGAGGTGATCCTGCCCCTTTACTCTGCTCTCATGAGACCTCACCTGGAGTATTGTGTGCAGTTCTGGTGTCAACATAAAAAGGACATGGAACTGTTGGAACAAGTCCAGAGGAGGACCACGAGGATGATCAGGGGACTGAAGCACCTCCCATATGAAGATAGGCTGAGAAAGTGGGGGCTGTTCAGGCTGGAGAAGAGAAGGCTACGTGGAGACCTCATAGCAGCCTTCCAGTATCTGAAGGGGGCCTATAGGGATGCTGGGGAGGGACTCTTCATTAGGGACTATAGTGACAGGACAAGGGGTAATGGGTGAAAATTTACAGGGGAAGTTTAGATTGGATATAAGAAGGAAATTCTTTCCTGTTAGGGTGGTGAGGCACTGGAATAGGTTGCCCAGGGAGGTTGTGAATGCTCCATCCATGGCAGTGTTCAAGACCAGGTTGGACGAAGCCTTGGGTGATATGGTTTAGTGTGAGGTGTCCCTGCCCATGGCAGGGGGGCTGGAACTTGATGATCTTAAGGTCCTTTCCAACCCTAACTATTCTATGATTCTGTGTGACAGAGCCACTCCTTTAATAGGGAATGGGTGTAGCTGATTCAGTTTCATTGTCCATTTTCAGATTTATCTCAAACCACAACAAATGCAGTAAGCAAGACAGAATCTGAACTGAGGGAAGTAAAACCAGGTACTTCCAGGAAAAATTTTTCTACTTACTAACCTGTCATAACATTTTCACTATAGCACAAGTAGCCTGCTTGTCCTGCCACTATAAACTGTGCACTAAAATTCTGAAAAACCCAAGAAGCATTCACTTGGGATACCAACAGCACCAAAAAACCCAGAGCTTCAAGGTACTACAATAGCAGACAAAGCCTATCCCACTTCCCTGTATCACAGGATGGGAAGCAGCTGACCAAGGTTAGGGATAAACTAGATCCTACAGTATTTAGGCTTCAGTGATCCTGCTTTATCCCTCACACAGCTGGAGATGCAGATTACCAACACAGCTGTTGCAGAGCAATCAGCAATTGCATGACAGCCACTCTGCACTGATTCTTCAGTGAGTACTGCGTCTTGCCCAGCTGTGGAAGACAGCTAAAAGATGCCATATATATTTCTGCTCTGATACACCCAACTTTGTAACATCTTCACTTGGCTTTGTCTGGTCCCCTACTTCAGTTTCAGGGCTTTGCTCTACTAGATAAGGCGTCTTTGTTTTTCTGATGCTTTAGCCCAGTTATTACTCGTGCCATACATTCTTGTATCTTTTCATTCTCTGACCTTTTAGTTTCTGCTTATTCCTGTTCTCCACTGAAGGTGCTCTGAAGGTCTCTGTGGCCTAAGGGGCCTGTGGTGCTCCTTAAAAGTTAGCTTTCTACCCTGGTAGTATGAACAGGCTAGTTCACTGTCTGAGCCCATGCGAACATGGTACTCCTCCCTGAGAGTTCTGGCTCAACATCTTCCAACATGAAGGCATTAGTAATTTGCTTACCATAAACTCATGAGAGAATACCTCATTGAATAGCGTGGACTGTACTTGCAGACTTTAACCAAATGTGGAAGATGACCTGCATACCGTAGTAAACTAAACAGATGATCCTTGCTGAGCAATTGACTGGTGTATCAAAGTGGACTGGTGCTGTAATCACACTATCTTTATAAATACTGCATTGCACTGTAATTATTTTAGCAAACCAGTGAGTTACAGTTCCTTCAGTCTTACACAGACCACAGTCAGTGTTAACAAACTGCAATCAGTGAAACAGGAATAAGAACTGACATATTAAAGTGTACCTGTAAAGTAGAGGAGCCTGAGAACACTGTATTTTGGTTTTGTCAATTCTTTGCTTATCAGCAATTTTCTGGCATGGAGGATATTGCAGGAATATAGAAGTTCTTGTAATCTTTAAGAAGAAGGGAAACAGATCCAGGGGAAGTATAAATATCCAATTTAACTCAAGTTATTTCACAAACATGGGAACAAATTACTCATATTTGAGTCAACAGAATAAGGGCTAGGCAAGTAGCAGTCAAGGATCTGCCAGGAAGAACTTGTGTCTGACCTGGATATTGGAAAGAAAAATAATTAGTTTTCTTTCCGATATCAGGGATTAAGTTAGTACATATTATGCATCTTGACTTGAACAACTGTTCCATAAAAGCTGGGAGAATGCAGTGTAAATAAAACCACTGCAAGACAGGAAAATTGTTCTCAAAGGAGCAGTTAATTGTTCCCTGACAGAGTGAAAAGAAGTATTACATTAGGTATCAGAAAGTAAGAGAAGGCCAGTATCATGCAGCATTTTCATAAATTATTTACAGTAATTAGAGAGTATGTTTACTACATTTTTAGATGACATCTGTCTGGAAAATGCTGCCAACTTGTTGGAGGACAGGGTTAACATACAGAGCAAAACTAGAGAAATGCCTTAAGGGGGAAGAAACCTATCAGACGCCAACCTCTGACATGTGGGTAGGAATAACTATAGAGCAGAAAAAATCAGGCTAAGTAACAGTTCTGAGATAAAATCTGATAAATAGTAGACAACAAAGAGTGCAAGGGAGAAAGGAGAAATTATGATTGCAAACCAAACACGTTAACAATACCAAGCTGTGTCAGCATCATACTACGATGTGTAACAATGAACAGAGCTTGCAAATTGGATGAAACCAGAAAAATCTTGCTGCTGCTGCTCGTTTTATTTCTAAGACTGTAGTCTGACTGCCATGTCTAATATTTCTAGACAGATAAGAGTTCAGGAAAGAGCAAGAAAAATGATGAGCACATTACAAACAAGGGAAGACTGCAGGAGCTGGGGTTATCTAATATACTGAAGGAAAAACTATGGGAAGGTTCACACAACATGCTTTGCATATATGATCTTAGCTGCCATGGGTAAGAAACTAAACAGTAGCTGTCATGGAACAGTGTATGCAACATTCCTCATAGGGAATTTCCTTTATGGGGCAGACTTGCTAGTTTTAGCATGATGCTTTGATGTAATAAATATTGCCATACATAATTTTTAAGATTTCAATATGCTACATAGAAAAGTAAGTATTCACAAAATGCCCAAAGTTATTTGGACTGCATAATTAATATTTCAACACAGAAATGTAATGTCAAGTTGCAACCAAAATAAACCCAAACTTTGTACCCTGGTCCTGACTGCTACATAATTTCTTGCAGCAAAACAGTTTAGCAGCAAACACAAGTGATTTATTTTACAGCACCTTTTTTTTCCTATATTTCCTTCAAAATTCTGAAGTGATTGGAAGTAACATCTTTATGTAAATTGATGACTTTAAAGAATAATGCTTCTAAATTAAAAAATGCTTCATATCTTTGTATCAGTTCCATAAAGAATATTTCAAGATATATTTTATATTCAAATCAGTAAGACAGACATTATAATAAAACAAATCAGTTTGCAAATACATAATTACAGACTAAGAATTAGAATCCATTTATCCACCAAAACAACAATGAACTGCAACTTACGATTACATGGTAGGTGAACCGGAAAAAAAAGTTAATAACTATAAAATCATTTAGCTTTATTTATTAAAATCCTTTGAAATTGCTACTGGTCCAAGAAATGCAGAAGCAAACATTTCCAGTTATTCATGCCAAATGGGAGCAAAGGTTTTCTTTTTCACTTGCCTGAAGTAAGTTAATGTTGGACATTCATTTTGAAAATCATTATGTATTGCTATATACCGTCTTTCTATGTATATTAAACAGCAGCACCCTCTACTGGTCCAGAAGATCCTTTCAAACTTTAGAAAAAGCTGTGGAGAATGATCCAGCCACAATAATGCAAAATGCTACTGAGAGTAAAACGTAGTTTTTCAGTCCCTGGATAAGCAAAGGGAGAGAAAAAGAAAAATATCAGGCTGTTAGATACAACTTCACAAAAAAAAACAAGTAAAAGAAATAACCAGGGTTTCATTTTATGACAAAATTCATAAATTTATTACATGAAATAGTAAATTTATTACTCATTTAATTTCATAAATTTGTAATATATTTGCTGTTCAAAACAGTTTAATACAAGTAATCTATGATGCCATACACTAAAGTAAAATACAAAACTAATTCAGCAATTTTAAAAAGTATTTTTAAAGGGCTTTGTCTATTTTCAGATTATTTTTAAGTAGTAAGCAGTTATGAAGACACTATTCTAAGACTGTATGGAAAAGATGAAAGATTTAGTGCATCACAGGCATTTAGATAAGGAACATGATAGTCTTTTATTGTGGTGCAACATTAATCTGCACTGGGGGAGTAAAAGAAACTTCCTAGTTCCTGATGAAGGGATGCCTAACGTATTTTAGTGTCTCCAAAAAAACTTGGAAAGATGATCTCCAATGGCAAATTAGGTACCTGTGGATCCTGAACAGATTAGCTAAGGGAACCTGAGAATTACACTGCTAGTATTCAACGCTTCATATTCCACTAGAAAAATAGTATCTGCCATGTATGTTAACAACCAGTAAATTAGCTTTTTCTAGGCAGTCACTGCTGTATTGGTTTAGGGTCTCCACAGTATACTGTAATTTGCAATCCCAGCTAACCTCTGCCTCATTTTTCAGTTCTTTGGTGAACCTGACTTGAAAAGTCTAATCTACTTGTCTATGTGATTACTGGGACAACTGCTCATTCTCCTGCCCCACTGAAAGAACCAGCTCATATAAATACTGTTTTCAGGCTGTGCTTGGCATCCTGCCTCCTGGCCCTGATACACTCTTCATTTACTCTCACTGCAGCTCATATAGTAATGGAGTTTAAATTTTCAGTCCTGTAAGGATTGTCCAGTTTTTCAGCTTTCTTGGAAACCTTAATATTGCATGATATGACTTTCAGCTTCATACTGAAATACTTGTAAGGAGAAGAAATCTAAGAGACACAGGTCTATATCAATTCATACTGTTCCTAGAGATAAAGACAAGCATGAAAGACTAGGTAAGAGCCATAGTAAGATTACCTTAATTTCTTTAAATACAAGGACTCCCCACATTGAAGCAACAAGACCAGGACCCTAAAGAATAAGATTCATTTGTACATTAAAACACCATGAAAAGCACCATCTTCTCATTATTGTTCTCAGGGGGGTTGAAATGTGTCTGGATAACAAATTCGGGCCTTTACATTCCATATAATTATGGCGCTCATGGCAAAAGCAAAAATATCACTGCCATCTTTATGAAGAGTCAAATCTTCAAGAAGGGCTAAAGAGGCAAGAGACTTCATTTATTTCCCCCTCCCCCCACCTCCAAGAAGACACAATTTCTTTCTAAGTTATGCTGTAGAGTCTGCACTGGCTGTTATACACTCTTTTAGTAGGCTCCAAATATGACACACTTAAGTCCAAACTAGAGTTGACAATGTTACCACATTTCAGAGGGCCATTCAAGTTTATTGGCAGGTACCATGAATATTCCTAACATTTCTTTTATTAGCATGAGTAACTAGCTGGACAAAGTTTGATTTTATCACACACTATGATATCAAGAGACTGAAACATAAATGTGTTTCCTGTATAGCAGGCATCTGGACAAAGCACAAAGCCAGCCAGATAGATGGGTCAGGAAAACTACTGATTATCTGTGATACTGTTGTACAGATTTCCCAGCTAACAGCGAACAGTGATACGCAATGATAATTTCCAAGCACTCCTGGTAATATAGTTTTCCCCCTGTGGGAGTAATGACTGGAATTTTCATGACTGATGAGAAAATGTTATCTGAACATGAAGCAAAAACTGGCTCTATTAATGCTTCCCATTAGAGCTGTTTTCAGAACTACTTGACAGATGTTTGGAAAGTGATCTTCTCTCCGTCTTCAGTACAGCTGACAGGACACAGATTTAGGCCAGCAGGAAAACAGCGTCTCATGCTGAATGTATTTGTGGGTGCTGTTTCGTAGTGAAATTGCGAACTATTACTTGAACAATAGCTAAGGTGTTATTTCATTTCCTAAATAATGTACGTTGCAAGAGGAATGCATTTTTAAAATGAAACAGACTGTTACAGGCATGTGATGAATAGCTGTCTGAAATTCTCTCTAGGGTGAAGGAAAGCAGCAGTTCTGAACCTGTGATCCAGATAGGCAGTTTCTCATCAGTGCTGTCCTTAAATTTTCATTTCATGATTTTATATGCTTGCCCTTTAGGCATGCTGATAACTAAGTTAACTTAAGCTGCTTTCCATAAATCTTTCAATTTCTAATTAGAATGATCCCAAGTCTCTTTTTTATATTGCATACTGCAGAGTTTATTCTGATTTACTGCATCTTGAGGCAAAGCTTAATCCCCATTAATGTTTCATTAGTTTGCTTCCAAAATATCTGCTGTTCAGTAAACTTTGTTTTTGATATTTATGAACTCTCATTTGCCAGAAGTTATCCATCTCTGCATCACCATCTAGTAGACTGGCAAGAAAGTAAACACAAAGTTTATTGTTACCTAGTGATGGAATTTATGCAACCTCTGGATGTTAACAGTGCTTTAAAGGTAGAGTATCATACATAGGATTAAAACAGACAAAACAGGCCAACCTATTTTTTCCCTCATTTGCATAAGAACATTATTTTCAGCAATACATAATCTGTTCTGTTTGTTCAAGAACTGCAAAAAGAAAAAATAGCAGACTTAATTAAGGAAAATGATTGCTAGAGGATAAAAATCACAAATGAAAACATCCAGAACAAAATTAATTCTTGGGATGAAAGCATAAAATTAAATTACTTCAGTTTACTATTTAGAATTGATATAGTTCTGGTTTCACAGCTTTGACTTTTATGTAACCTGAAGACTCACACTTTCTATTCTTCTGGGGTTTTTTAATGCTTGGCACTGACCAAGATGGTGCTTGTCACAGTCATATATGTTCCTAAAAACCCAAAGGCTGGCACAGACAAGCAGAACACGCAATGTATGCTCTTTATTAAAATGTTCTAGACATGTCATAATTTCAACTTAATTTAGCAAATGTGATGAAAAAAAACCTTTCACTTTTAATTCTAGTCACAGATTTTATTTTTTATATACTTACTGCAGTAATTATTGGAAAGCTGACCACAGCACTGAGATAGTGATTGGCTATGAACCAGCAGCAATTGGCTACTGCCCAAAGCACACCAGACACAAACCCTAGGAAAATAAATCCCAATCAAAAACATCCACAGCAAGGTACAGACAGCAATTTATGGAACATTTATATTTATAACATAGTACAGAAACCGCATGTATGTATTTTTTTTTAACTACTTTAACAAGCTGGCTCTGATAATCTAAACCAAAGCTCAAGGGACAAAATCAGCTACATCAACTGAAGTATCAAATTAATTAAAGTTCACATATTTCTGGGCAACGTGCTCTACACTCTGGCAGTCAGCTTTTGAAAATCTGCAATGTCATTTGCTCCAGCTTCAGATTAGAACAAAATTTATCAGTGTTTCCTAACTTTAATTAATTAATCAAATAGGAGTGATCTTTCAAAAGAGACAAAGGTCAAATGAAGAGACTTGAAAGGCAAACTACAATTCCAACACATAGCTTAAACTCATTACTGAAAACAGTCACAAGTAACTGAACTTGTTATAATTTGAAAACCAGTCATACCTGGCAAAATGGCTTGGGGATAAACATTAGGTTTATTTTTCCTGACTGCACAGTAAATCAAAAAGTAGACAGTACTTGTAAGAAATATTCCACTGAAGTGTGCAAAAACATAATCCAAATCTAAAAGAGAAATCATGAAATTACATTAGTCTAAACCACCAGTTATTAATTTTAACTAATTTCACTGACAGCATTCACATAGATAAAAACCCCATATGGTGCTACTTCTAACAACTCAAATTCAGTTGTGATTGTGACCAACATAGCTGCGAGTCTGACTGGATGGATGTGGTCAATTACATATATATTAAATGCGAATTAACTGCTGTGTTAACCTTAGCATTTATTACAGGCTTTTATATATTTCTGTGACTTGTTATTTTTGGAACTCTGTTAGTCAAAGTACTGAATAATTTATTAAAACCTCATGAAAATCCTCTGGTGAGGCTAGAAAACTGGGGGGAGGGATTTTACATAATTGCATCCTCTCCAGACCATCTACATTTGTACTCCTGTATACAGCCTTCTTTTCTGTATATTTAAGGGAAGACAACTGCACATAGTGTGGAAGCTAGACACGGCAGTTTTGTCCTTTTGTCATCTTGAAGAATGTATCACAATTTTGATCACTATAATCAATAACCCTTTATGGACTTCGTATGTGTTAAAGAGATTGTTTCTGAGCAACCTGGTCTAGTGGAAGGGGTTCCTGCCCATGGCAGGGGGGTTGGAACTAGATGACCTTTAAGGTCCCTTCCAACCCAAACTATTCTATATGTAGCAAGGTGATTGCTGTCTCCTTGGAGCTGTAAATTCTCAACAGGACAGGCAGCTATAGTAATGTTAACATCTGTTATGTCTAGCTGGGGAATATACAGGCTGCAGTATTCAAGAGAAATTGTATGTGACATAACAAACAATTTCTTAACAGCAGTATTATGACTCCTCAGCAATATGTTGCTCTTAAACTGCAGCTGGTATTACCTGATAAGACTATACACTAAATCTTAAGAAAAAAAATTTTGTGGAAATGTTTGAAATTGGCAATTAAGCTTATGTAAAAAGGTTTCTGTTTCAAAACCTACAAGGTTTTAATTACTTATATTGTTATATATCTCTTCTCCGCATGAGTTATGATCAACTCTCTTCTCTTCCTTTACTGATGTACTAATTTGGTAACTGGAAAGCTTGTGCCTTTGTTTACCTCATGTTCCAGGATATAAACTTTGCATTTTGAGATGGCTGGTATTTAATACCTTCTGGAACATAGCTATGAGTGAAGCATGGTATCCTCTGGGCTGTTTCTCACTGTTCTTTTAACAGTGCAATGAACCTCTGAGAAAAAGAGAGTGCTAGTACTATGATTCTGACAACATATAACAGCGCAAAACTGGTATGCTGTACAGCCTATTTTCAACCTTCTCAAGAATTTCACTTTATGCCTTTGAAAAAGCAGGAGAACACAAGAGACTGACAAAATAAAGTCGAAGTAATCTATTAGCCTTTACCAAATTGACTTGCTCCTGCGTATACAGTTTCATTTCTTCTTCCATGATCCTTGATGTAAAGTACTGGTACAAAACTGGAACCGTAGAGTATTCCAGCTACTACAGCTAGGCTACATCCTCTTTAAAAAGAGCAAAATTCAGAAAAAAAATAGCCAAGTGTTAATTAGAAAAGTCCATAACACATTTAAGACAAATCCAGTATTGCTTTTGAAGACTGTGTATGATATGAAAATTGCTAGCAACACCATAAAAATAATACATTTTAGCGTGCTTTATTTTCTAGTGTAGAAATGGTTCAACACAGTAACTTAGTTTTCCAATGCTTTGTTGCCAAGTAACACAGACAATTCCTGCCCCAAAAGTCTGCAGTATAGATTAATGACAAGATAAACGAACTAACTAGGATTTCCTGAAAGCAAACCTAGGAGAAAACAAACAAATTAAAATGCTCCCACCCCCAGCTTCACTGTTGCAGTCTATATATTCTTAACTCTCCTGAGGTTCACTGCCTCTTTAATCTCCAGATTATTGCATTCTTGACTGTTTCCATTTCCCATGCTGGCCTCTTGCTAGCTGCTGCTTCTACCCTGAAGCACTTATATCTCCCTACCACACCACCATGCCTTCTCCAGATGTATTCACTTGGAAACCACACCCAGAATCATGATATTTGCATAGGCTCCTTCTGTGCTGGAGGGCTAATCAAGCAGGTGATAAAAAACAGTTCTATGATTATTACTTAGTTGCTATTGATATTTACTTTGCCAAATGTTTGCTCTTTTACAGTAGTAACTAATACTTAATTAGTAAGGTAAAGCACACTCAACAGTACAAAGGAAACAACCTAATTAGTTGTGCAGCTATTTGTATATAGGTACGCACACTATGCTAGTACCTTAAAACCTGTAATTTATTAGTGCATGACTGCACTAGAAAAACTACAAGATGAAAATTTTGCTCTTAATGCTGTGTTCAGTTACTTTCTCTGGCTACTTGGCCTGTATCAGTAAGAGAAACTGTTAATAACTTACATGAGTCTCTTTTTTGCTGGAGAAAGTCTGTTCACCCATGAATCATCAGAGGTATCTTCAGAAACATTAATGGACTGCAAAAACCCAAGAGTTTTCACACAAATTTAGTTTAAAACAAATAATCTCAAACATTGTATTAAGCAGAACAGTTTTCTCTAATAAAAACAGAATCAAAAGGAATTTACAGAAGTACTCTGAAGAAAGTAGAATAATTTTCTTTTATTAAAACAACTAATAATTAGATCTACCTATGCTGACGTCTGCAAGTTTGGATATGCACTTTGGGTTTACTACGTAATAGAGCACTCACTAGCATTATGTTTTAATCTGTATGAGGACAGATCTGACCTTCAGAACTTGTACTTTCTGAAATCTGATAAATGATTTAATCTATAGATTTTATTTATAATGTGGGTTTGCCTTTTGTTGATAGCTCTGGTGTTACTATCAGAATATTGGGCCTATTTGCAAACAGGGAAATTAAGGCCTGTCTGCAGCATAAAGAAATTGCAACATGGCTTTATTCTAATCCTGTAATTGGCTTGTCTTCTATGATTTGTCTGGTAGACTTGAACCTCTAATGAGCATTGAGCACAGCCAGAAAACTTGGAGGGACTCTGTTTGGGTAGCAACTGCGTACTGACCTACAACAGGAAGGGACAATGGTAGTAGGAGCCTATCGCTCTCTACCTTCTGTTTCCAATGTGGCACCCCTCATTGATCTCCAATCTGTGCCACAACTGATGCTGAGAATTCTCCTGGCTCAGTAACATGGCAAAGATCTGGTGGATAACAGTTATACATTGTTGCCTTTCATCTAAGTACCCTCCCATTTATATAGTTTTAATTAAACTTGCTTCCTCTTTTAAGATAGGAAAGTAACACACTGTCTTTTACATACTGTCTGTCCTAATGAAAAGGGACTTCTATGTCATTTACACCTCACAACAGAGAAAAAACGCTTGAAAAAACCTTTTCTGTTCATCACATTTTGTTGTATATACAAGATTTTCAAATTAATCATAGAATAGTTAGGGCTGGAATCAACGCATAATTATGTAGTTTTATGTAGTCTACCATAAATGCTAGCAAATCTGGTTAAAATTAAGCCTTTTGTTTTTAAATGGATATGTACTTCCACTGATGTAAAATAACAACTGTAGAGTACTTACACTTTCTCTCAGTAAAGGCGTGCTTTCTAATGAAGTTGAAGAACTCTGGACTTCAGTTTTTATAAAAAGAAATATGACAGCACTTAGAAGAGAAAAAAAGGCCAGTAAATACCAGGTCAGCTCCTAAGGACATAACAAGTAGTGTCCAGAGACAAAAGCTGTATTTGGAAGCATACTACTTTATTTTCATTATTGCCTTAGAGTCACTTCAATATATTTAAAAAATGCAATTGCTTTTAACAGTCATAACAAGCAACTTAAGTGAAAGCAAGTAAATAGATTAGTCTTTGTACCACTTCTCAGATCTCTCTTCTATATAACAGAATTGAAATGTCTCCTTTCTACAGTGTGTAGTTACAACCACATTAACAATGTTGCTTTAGTTAACACTGTCTTTTTGTACTAAACCACACATGCAGTGGAACATCTGCCTGAAAATTCTGTATGGAACAGCTTAAACCTGCACAGCACTGGCATTGTGCTCAAGGAAAAAAGTTAGTTTTTAGTCGTCTGTCCTATGTGAGTGAGGAAATACTGCTCCTACAGGGCCTCATGCATATGTGGAAGGAGAAGAGGTATTGCTCAGCTGCGCTCCAGTGCACTAAGTGAATAAAATAAAGAAGAAAGGGTAACTTTACTGCTTGCAGGTAAATATGTGTATCAGAACGCACAGGATCTGTTTGGTTTTTTTTTTTATTTTTATGAAAGATATTTTAATGATATAGGAATTCCTTCTCATAACTGTAAACAGAACGTCTCCTTTTGAAGAATGATTCATCTCCTACTAAAGGGATAAGGGTAGGTATAAAAAGACGTCAGCTTCCTCCAGAGAGACTAGAAAACCATATACAGGTTCCACACAGGAGGCTAAAATGAAATACATGCTTTTGAACTCTGCAGAGAAACATACACAGGTGTTGTGTAGCTTGCCAGGAAAACGTCTTTTTCCCTGTTGATCACTTCTCCATGATATCTCAGAAACAGGCAGGAAGCAGGTGGTGAGGTGAATGAACTCATCAGGCAGGAATAATAGTACTGCTACTATTTTCTAAGTACCTCACAAAATCACATGCTACATGTAACAGTAATGGGTAAATAGCTGCAGGCTCTTAGAAAAGAGGAAGAGCAGAAGCAAAATTCATTAATCTAAGGCACTGGCTCTCTCCTAACAATCAAGAATGGCTGCATCATCTCCATGTTTTTAACACACTTCTTTTCCTAAAGGCATTACATTCAGCTACTGCTTAGCATGCTTATGGCAAGCCTATTGCCCCTTGGATTTAGGACCACCGTTATGTTCCTGAAAAGACCTTCCTGGCTACCCAGTCAGAAAGCAAGAACACCACTACATATCAAAGACCATCTTTCCTACGTGTTTGGACCAAAGTGCACTCGTATAAATAATATAAACAGAAAGAAGAGTAGAAGGCCTTTCAGAAGATCCTAAAGGAAGACACTGTTTGGGTGTTGCTGTAAGTGTGGTTTAAGAGTTACAAGACAGGGAGCTATTAAGGAAAAGAAATAATACAAAGCCTCTGCCTTTCCATGGACCTTAAAGGAACTGGGAAGGGGTCCTGTCACATGTTCTACAGTTCAGAGGGAAGGATTTGTACCCCTGAGTGAAGTCAGATCAGAAATCTCGGAGGAATTTCCTCACCAAGATCCTTCTAGTCAGTGTTCCCTCCTGCAAAATTTGGGGAAAGTGAATCATTTGAACTACTTTGCTAGGGAGATAATCAGCATATCACTGCTTTGCCTTGAACATGCCTACCAGCATAAAAATATATTTCTGTGTTTATGAACAACCATTTCACCACTGTGCTGGGTATTATATATGTTTCTATTCTGACCAGCTAGGTATGGATAGCTCATAAATTCTGCAGTAAATTAGTTTCCAAGAAATACTTCAAAACAGGTACCCTCTAGTTAAATTGTCCCCATGGTTATTAAATACGTATTTTACATTACAGGTATTTATTATAAGAATAGATTTTTACCTTAATAGTGAAAGCCCAGCTCCAATATAATTTAAGATTGGTCTTGATACTTCTTCTGGGTCAATTCCAAACCAACCAAACCTGAAACACTTAATCAGTTTCACTTAGTTGCCTTGACTTAATAGAAATACTTAAAGTATAACCCAGTCTTGGAAATCTTTACTCATATAAATAATTCTGCTTGAGTTTATATTTTCAATAACAGATCAGTGCTTCAGCTGGCTTGTTGGCTACATCTACTTTACAAAAATAAACTTTAAACTAACTTTAATTTACATTGATTTTTAAAAATCTATTTAAAAATTGAAGTTGATTTAAATTATTTTATCAGTCCATGCTGTAGACCAAAAAATACAAGCAGTGTACTAGTTTTACATTTAACAAATACATTATTTATTCCCTCAATTATGTTAGTGAACATCACTGGGCATTCATCTTCCTAATAAGACAGAGGAAACACAAAAGGATAAAATAATTAATCTGCGTACTTTCCACTGAGATGAAAAAAAGATCTTGCATGTATGATAAATCCTCTTTACTGGTGACAGTGTTTTCACTGCAGTCATTAACGATGAACTGGCAATATTAATGATGTATGACTTGAGATTTAAACTAACTTACCTTGAACTTGCCCAACCTGTCAGCAAATTAAAAGAAGCCCATATCAAAAGACCAAGAGCTAAACCAATAGTTTTAACAATAGGGACAACTGTAACATTGCCTAAAACAGAAAAAGCAAAATTCAAATTAGTGAAAAACTAGACTGTAATCTTGTATATTTTTGCTTTAGATTCTGTGACTATTCAGAAGGCAAAGAATTTTAGGCAACCAAAGGTGGTAGGAAACAGTGTTTTACAAAAATAAGTATATCAAACATGTTTCTTTCCTCAATACCATTTTAAAAGCTATTTTTTGTGAATTTGCTGTATAAAATAAGCATAATAAAATAATATTTTCTATAAGGATACAGCTCCAGTAGCAGAAAAACTTTAAAAAGCCAAACAGCTACCAAGTAACTATTACCTAACATATATTGACAAATTTTTATCACTGTTTTTTTATGAAGAGTTAGGATTACTTTGGGTTTCAAGAAACAGAACTTCTTTATCCTTACCTGTAGCCCACACAAAACCCCCAACCATAGCCAGAGGCCAAAACCGCGGGCAATTCTGGATTAAATTGACCATCAAAGAAACTACCCATATAGAGGCACAGAGAATCCACTGGAAGAACATGCCTATGGAAAAAATCAAATGCACACAAAAGAGAACTTGTAGAATACTACATGTGTGAATCTCTTAACATTCTATGCTTTAGATAAAATAGTACAGAAAAATGTGAAAGGCGCCCACCTCCTTTGTGAATTTCAGGGAACCATGTTACAGTATATTCAAAAGATACATTTTAGGGTTGGATGTTATAATTCTGTCAATCTTTTCCTTACCATGCATTCTTTATATGCAGCTGCAAAAGGTATTTTGATGCATAAAGTTTAAACAAACCCTGATTCTCAAACACTTTTGACAGGTTTCTGACAAAGAGGTGTTCAGTTACTGCAAACTTCTTCCACCACCCTAGTAGCAAGTAACACAGATGACTGCACAGGACAAAACTCCTTCAAAGCTCAGGGCTCAGGCTCTTCCACTAATCCAGGACACTGAGGATGACAAAAACTCTGGACCAATCTCTCTAAGGGTCAGCAAGGCAGACCAGCTGATTTTATACCAGCTGAGCAAAGACTTTTGCTTTGAAGTCTAGCCTTGCCTGTAATGCAGATACTATTATTGCAGTAACACAATGGCAGACTTATTCATCTAGGGATCTGTTAATTGACTATGCATCACACAAACATGTAAATATGACACAAACCTAGTAAAATGTTAAAAATTCCAATTAGGAAATAGAAGTGATTGTTTCCTCTCACTGACTCACCAGATCAAACTGCAATTTCAATTTTTGATGGATTTTATGTTAGGTCCCCAGTGGAAAGGCAATACTCTGAAGTTCAACAACTTTTACAATATAAATAATATATTAATTTGAGAACCCCCACAAGGGTAGAAAAAATAAAATTTAAATTTTCATTGTTAAATAGTCATGAAATACACATCATCACTCTTGAAGTGCGTAACAACACATAGAAAGGCTCTCCTAAAGATTTGCCACATCCTAAACCAATACACTATTTTTTTATACCATAATAATAGCAAAGAAAACTAAAACATTAAGGTTGTTTATAAAGCTAACTATAGAAACTCTTGTATTTGTTGGCAAAATATTATTGCTATTAGGCAAAATACCAAAACCAATAAAAGGATATAAGTAAGCTTACCATCACCAGTATCAAATTTCTTAACAGGCACAAAGTTTGTCCCAAATAGAAGGACAGCTACTGTGGACGAGGTAAAGCCAATAGCTAGATCCGTTCCATTGCTGACATTAAAGGTACTGTAAGTTTTTCCAGTGTTCATCTTTGCTCTGAAGGTGCCTCTTTGTGAAGTTGTCTTGCTGAGGAACCTGGCAGATTCTGAAATCAGAGAGTGGAATTAAACATGTGGAGTATTAAGCAACCTGGTCTAGTAGAAGATGTCCTTGCCCGTGGTAGGGAGGGCTGAACTAAATGATCTTTAAGGTCCCTTCCAACCAAAACCATTCTATTACTCTATAATACCAACCTAGTTCAGAAATCTGAAACTTAAAGGACCCTACTTATCAATCTCTCAGAAGCTGGACAGAACAGGGAAGTATACTGTAGAATCCCACGGGAAGCTGCCATAAACCATGAATGAAGTAACATAAGAACAGATGCACACACAGATATATATCACTATTGTGTGTTTCATAATAAGCTTCACAGAAAAGCATGTCTAAAACCACACAATACCAATGTACAGATGCACTCAAAGGTTATGAGGGCTTGAATTTGAGAGACCTGACACTCTAGTGAGATGCGGTACCAGAATATTCCTTACTCCCGTAGCCAAAGTGGGGGGGTCACACTGGGATGAGTGAAAAAGCAGGGTTTAGAGACAAAATCTTAATTGGCAGAAGCTAGAGCAAATGCAGCCCTGCTCCCTGGGCGTCAGGAACTGGCACAGAGATTCTATAGATGCCACAGCAGGATTAATATAGGATCATAAGATAACCACAGGGATTGCTCTAGCTGATACAAAATGTGAATAAAGGTTCATTTTTTTCTGTGGGTAACAAAGGAAGAAACTGCCTCTAAAGTTTCTTAGTTCATTTCACATCACTATAATAAGAAAGGCAAAGACTTTTTTTAATCCCATTATACCTCTCTTTTTCTTTGAAGGGGAGACTCATCTTGAGGTTACACTCAACAGAAGTACTACACACGTACTTCAGATACAGATTGTGACTTTCACAGAAAAAGTGGCTCTAAGGACAACTGTAACAATATGATCTTTGCATACACAATCTTAAGATGCACGTAAAAGACTAAATATAAGAAAAGCATTTGGAAATTTACCTTCAAATGGCAGCAGCATACTTAATATGCTGTGAGTACAAAGGGGCATAGAGATACACATGCAATCCTACTGTTGAAGTAATGCTATTTATACTGACTCAAATGGCATCTTAATGTAGTTTGACATTCCCCAGTGTAGGTGAACTAGCTACTGTCTGGAGGAAAAAACCTGAAATAGGATGGCAGAAATTTTGCCAAGTCTTGTAAAGGATGCTGTGACTACACTCTCTGCACAAAAGGAAGAGTCGAGCTGCTGCACATCCTTTCATCTTGCTTTACCCTCCAGTGTTACCTTCTCTGGAGTCTTTAGGACACTGAGAAGTGCATCTGCTGACATTGTGCTTTTATCTACAGCTTACACAGGGCCATCAGTGTCAGCTGAAATTATTTATTTGCATTATCAGGTGAAAAGTTCAATCCCATAACTAATATAACCATTTAGTTTCTATAATTTTTTCCTCTTAAAGGATGTCAGTATATTTTTGGGTACTTAAGAAAAACACAAGATTACATCTAGAAGACACATCTGGAAAGTACAACAGCACAGGTATTTTCATTTATCTTATCATTTTTTCCTTCTCGCTTCATCTTTCCTGCTTACTTAGAGGATAAGCTTCTCCAGGAAGTTTTCACTGTGTTTAAGACTCCTCTATAAAGTATGTTTTATCTAGGACCTGTAGACACTAAGCAGTGCAAATAATAATGCTGGGATTTCTTCAAAGACTGACTTCATGGGCTAAGAAACATAGTGATACTACATGAATGGATTAAGAAAGATAATGGTTTACATCAGCTATCTCCATTCCATCAGCCTTGCTTCGCTGAGTGAATACACTCAATTCATTTAGAGGACAAGTAAGGCACAAAACGTGGGTTTTGTATGGGAAGAACTTCATGCTGTTAAGAACAGAAATAAATCTGATTACCCTGCATCTCTATGAACACAGGACTCAGTCCTTTGGCCTTTAAATAAGTAAGTCACTATTCAGGCAAGATACTAAGAACCTTTCAAATTTAAAGTCGTTTATCAGCCTTTTTGATTTTTGTTAATGACAAAGAAATGTTACTTTTAAAGTATTTCAGTTCTGTATTTACTAAGAGAAAATCTGGATGCTGAGGGGCAATATATTTTTCTGCTTGCCCTTTATCTTCCAAAATTCGCTATATTGTGCACACTGAAGACTGTTGCACAACTGGAGACCCAACATCATGACACCAAAACCGGAAAGGAAACACAACTTCCAGCTAACTATGGAAGAGCATGCTTCATTCAGACTGTTTATAACTTTCCAAACTTTGGGGCACTTAGCTCCAAATTTGTCTAAATTTCAGACACGGCTTTCAACTCCATTTTAAAGCCTTCAAGAGACAGCTCAATCAGACAAGGCCTGAAGCAACCAGCTCTAACTTTGTTGATAGCACTGCTCTGAGCATGGAGTTGAAGCAGATGAACTCCGGAGGTCCCATTCAAGCTGAGTTACTCTGGAATTGGCATTACTCTGGCATACAGCATTAAGCTGACTTTATTTTGCTAATCTTTGCACATCACAAAACTTCAGAGGTCATTAAAAGCCTCTTCTCTACAATCCTATGTTACTGCCAGGTAGACTTGCAGCATACATGACTCCAAAGCCTACAAGCTACCAAATGCCAAACCAGCAGCACTTCCCCAAGCTGCTAAGATACTACAACATAGTGGTTGTATCTGCAACTCAAGCAGAGACAACTGGAATTACTGCTGTTATTGAAGGGTTCTTTTTGCTAGGTAGCCCTTACTGAAGGGCAATTCAAGCTGCAGAGGAAATACAATCTAATTTGGTTGGCACATGCTGCCCTTCTACTACTAACTTCACTGGTTTATCTTACTGGAAGGTTGTGCTCTGTATTTTCCCTCTTTCCTCAGAAATATGACACCATTTTCTCCCTTTGCACAGAGACACAACAAATTACAACACTCACAGCAACACATTGCTGCCATCTCCACAGACGAGCATGAAATCAAGAAGCCTGCCCTTGAGAACTGTCACCTCAAAACATATCCAAGCTGTTGTTAAGATACTAAAGAAATTGTTTACACGAATTGAAAGGTATCTTTAGAGGCTGCGTGTCACATTATTTATTTGTATGTTTCTCCTATCATCTATTTGCCATCATGGGTGGATACTTTCATCTTTATTTTAGCAGACTTCCATCAGTCCCAGATGGCAGAGAGTGCCATCCTCAAGTGACAACACAACCCCTTGCTAGCTGCTCAAGAAACATTTCTTCTCTTTCCTAAGATGAATGCATTTGCGAGACATTCTTTGGGCAGTATTTTCAGTAAAGGAAACAAGGAAGAACACGCAGCCGAGCGAATATTGCTTCTACAGACGTCAACACGCCGGGGGCTGGCTCCGCAGGGCAGGCCCAGGCTGCAAGCGGGACACACAGGCGGGACAGGCCGAGGCCGCCGCTAAGGCAGCGCCAGGTCCTCGGAAGGCCAACTGCTCGGTAGCGCGCCCCGACAGAAAACTCGAGAGCCCCCACCCAATGCGGACACCTTTCCCTAGCCGCCGCGGCCTGTCTCACAGCGCTCCGCTCCCGCAGCCAGCGGGGAGGCGGCCAGCAATGGGTCCGCACCGCCTGTTCCCTTGGCTGAGCCTGCCGCTAAACCCCGGCCACCGCTGCTGCCCACCCAGCTCCGTGCCAGCTCCCGCCGCGCTACGGCCAAGGTCACCCACAGGCCTCCCCCGGCGCACCGGCCTCCCGCCCGGGCCTCACCGCCCGCTGCACCGCCCCTTGCCTCGGCCCGCCCCTTCCCCATCGCTCCCAGGGCCGGGAGCGGGTGGAGGCGAGCCGGCGGAGGGCGAGGCGAGCTTCTGCGCCCGTTTCGTCCGCCGGTACCCCGCCGGCAGCCGTCGCGGAGGCGATCCCGGCCTGCGGCAGCCCATCGGGGCGCAGGGGCTCTCCCGGGGCACCGGCTGCCAGTCTTGCGGAGGGTGAAACACTATGAGAAATGTTAAATTTGGGCAAATAGGGCGTGATAAGAGCTTCTTTACGCCTCCCCGAGCTGAAACGCGGCCGATGAGATGGCTTTTTATGCTAAGTGGAAGTGCACCTGCGTACTTCACACGCTGTCGCTGGTACCGTGCTGTGCACCCTGCCTTTGGCCGAAGTCCACGGGCACACTTTGAGGGCAGGACTCCTGCCCGAGAGGGACGGGTCTCCGCCTTGCGGCTCCTCCCTCGCCCCGGGAGGCCTCCCCGCCCGCTGGGAGCTGCTTTCATGGTTTGCATGATGTCAAGAAGAGATTTTTGCAGATTTCCCTGTAAGGATCTGGCCCAGACCAGTTAAAGCGCAGACTATTAGTCAGCATGTTTAGTCAGGAAGCAAACATTTCTCTGTCTTCTTGGTGTACAGCTTCCAGATGGCAGCCCAAATTCATCTCCTTATGAGCACAGCACAAGCCTTCTAAAGTAACGCTTCATCTTTTGCAAATCAAATCCGCATTATCCATAATGACATATGTTTTTTTTCTCCAGAGTGTAAGTTCTCAGTCCCATGGATTCAGTAAAGCTGAGACAGAGTGCACCGTTTATCAATCATTTTAATATAAATGCCTGCCCGTGTGACATTTAGAGAGATGAACTGCAGAATATCTCTATGGAAACAATTTAGCTGTAGTGCATCCAAGAGGAACAAAATCCCATATGATAATCACAAATGTAGGCTGGGAAGAAAGAAGTACTTTTTATTATAAAGGCAATGTGTGTCTTTGTGTTACATTATTTTATTCAGAAAAAAAAAAAGAAAATGTTAGTAAAACATTAATTATTTACATTGAACTAGCTTCACATAGAAAACAAGAGTATGCATAATAAGGAGCCTAACCCGAAACTACATCCTTCCAGGTGTCCAGGGACAAAGAGGGACGATGAGCTTTGGCTTCTGAAGAATCCTGATATTGAATAAAACGTTTTCCAAAAATCCTGCCCTGGTATCATTTGGAAGAATGAATCTCAGAGGAGTCATTGGCAATGACTTCTAGTTACTGACTCTGCTCCACTCGAACTAAGGCTCATCTATTCCTCACTGTTCATCTATTCCTTGCAATTTCTTCAAACCATGCTGGTTTTGAAGCATTGTTTTTGTCATTAACGCAACAGTTAACATGACACTTCAAATGAAGCACCTCAAATATGGGCAGATTCTGACTCATTCGTGCTGTTTGGTTTTATTGAAATCATAGGTTACTGGAGTTGAAAACTATGTGGGAAAGGAGGACCATGAATTCACAGTATTTACTAAAATGAAAAATGGCCACATTCATATTTCAGAGCCTTCTATGAATATAACAAGTGTCCACTTAAAGAGGGTCTTTTATTGCAAAATGCTCTACAAACCAGCACAAACAATATTTTGTTCTTTGCTGAATTCCAGCAATTTCTGCAGACATAACTGCAGTGGGAATAACCAAACAGAGACATCTTGGAAAACTAAAAGAAAACAATAAGCATCTTTAAATCCTGTATCTTTTAAAACTGAAATGACTGAGTGGAGCAAGAGGGAAGGGTTAGATGAAGAAATAGGAGATGTATTTAAAATACAAACCTGATACTTGTAAAAACTGTCACCATTCTGGCATTTTGCAGAGCAACATACTACTATGTAGCTTTTTGTATTGATAATAATGCATCCCTGTGTTGTTATAAATTGTTTTCTCTTTGTTTTTCTTTAGTTCTCCAGGTGTAGTATTCACTGTCCCTAAAGGTTGTACTTAGTCTGCATTAAAGGAAGGTCACCAATGAAAAAAGTTGTAGAAAAGGAGTAGAACGAGAAGTAAGAAGCTGTACTTGGTAGGATTAAGAAGGATGCAAAGGTGAAAGGCTATAGGAAGATTGCACAGGGGAGGATGATTTATGCTTAGGAACACAGGACTTGATATTCCCATGTTCCTAACCTAAGGAAAGGATAACACTGGGCACAGAATATGTGTATAGAAAGAAATAACATGAGTTGTGTTTAATGTATGCAGATGGCAATAACACGGAGTTTAGAGCAAGGAATAAATATAGAATCTGACTGACATTACAGGCTTAAATATAGATAGGGAAAGTGCCATAACCTAGGCCAGAATTTGGTCAGAAAACTAGTGTTCTTCAGTCTGTTCTTTAAAAAAAGGGTCCTAAATATTTCTGACCACAGAGGAAAAACCCTTTCAGCTTAGTAATGCCCGTTAGTGCCCAGCTGCAGCATTGGGTTAGTAATGTTTCCAGAAAAAAGAATACTACCCGCCTGAACAACAAACATTGTCTTTCCTGAAAAACAAAGAAATGTTTGGTTTCCAAATAAGTCTATAACCATTCCAGCCTTAATTATTTTGTAAAAACTAGTAGGACACTGGAGCTGTACACCACTGGAGCTGTTCATCACAAGAGCTGAAATAAGGAACATCTCTTCATATGTTATCTTTTAAAGAACCCAAATTAGAGGCAAGTATCTGCTACATTAGAAGATACTGAGTTCTATTTTTTGAATTCCTACCACCATCCATTCCAGACAATATAGTGGTGCAGCATTTAAGGAATGCATTCTCCCTTCTGAACATGAAAAAATAATGGAAATATTGCCATTATCACACTTAGAAAGCCTAAAACCCCGCTGGGCATTCAACACTGTACATCAGTGGGTACACCACATTTTGATTTCAGGGCTACAAACCAAATGAGAAGTGAATAAGATCTCTTCATATCCTATTGTGATTTCCTCTAATTTAAAGGTAATCCTTAAAGAGTTGAAGTAGAAAGATTATATAGGTTCCAAAATTTATTTTAAGAAAAATGTCATAGCAAAGGAAAGCTGTTAGTGACAGGAATGGACTCTGTTTTGGAACTGCTTGATTTTAATGGACAGGTCGTGATGCAGTCTACATGCAAGGACGATGTTTGAGAACAGCTATTGCAGCGTGATACATTTCCAACTCGAGCAACTCTGTGCCATTAGCAATACAAAGTAAAATAAAAAAATTAGCCAATTCAAAGACACTTAGAAGAAATATAGTGGAGTAAAAACTCCATGCTGAATTATTTACTGTCAAAATCATTATTGATCCTTAAAGGAGGGGAGCCTATCTTGGGCATTTAAAAACAATTTCTTCATGAGTATGTGTAAACATTTGCAATGAATGAAATTCTGCTCTCACGCTGCAATTCCCAGTTACCTGTTTTTACCTTGGGTTTAGCCGTGTGATTTTGATGGTATTTTGCACTCACTTTGCACTGATATTAAAAAGGGTGCAGAAGGCTGTTCTCTCTGAGAGCCATGTACAGTGTCTGTTGTTTGGGCTGCAAACTTGGTATCTCTCAATATGACCCTTCATCTTTCAAAGGGACCCTCAAGCATCCAAGGCTGATCTAATAATGTCCAACTTTGGCAAGTTCTTTAAAGTATAAAAGACGTTAAGCAGCAATAGCCACATCTTTCTTTACTGACTTTATTGATAACACCTGTCTGGAGCATTTTCAGTTAATCTTTGTTTGGGATATGTCCCTTCAAATTTGAACTAAGAAAAAAACAAACAAACCACTTAAGTGGCCAGAGGGATTTCTTACAATCTCTATTCCTCAGATTTGAAAAAAGCATAAAGATATGAAGGCTCTTTTCCTGGTAACAGGCTCAGTTGCTGGAGTCTGAACTCTGTAGTACATATTTAGACTAAAAGGAAAATGATATCCAGTGAAAAATTCCAATCACAAAGTTTTATAAATTCAGATTGGACCCATCTAAAACATGAACCGACTCTTTAACTGTCTATTCCCTTTAGTATTAACTGAGAATATTTTCTTTCAGCTTGAATTTCAGAGAACATATACATTATATTATTTTGCACTAAGACTAGGCAAGGAGGCAGAAGTCTGAGCTTTGCCAGTGTCTCGCTGCTTAACTCTATACAAGCTCTTCTCTCTGCCTCAACTTTTCCAGCTGTGTAATGAGTATGCTATGCCTCATTTTGGAAAGCACAAATAGGAAGCACTCCTGAGCCGCTTAATAGCATGTTTGATAGCATTTTAAAAGCCACTATCGATTTTTCATTTCTCGTCACAAGAAGATATGATTACCAACAGTTCTAAAATTCAGGGGGCAGGGGATTTATTTTAAATGAAAAAAAAAACCCAAAACAACCAAGCATGGGAAGTGGGAATTTCTGCAGTACATTTGCGTGTAGTGCACTAGAGGGCCCTCAGGAGTTAGAAATGGATGGAATGCACTTCTGGAAGGCACATACTTCACAGGACTTTACAGAATTGAAAATAGAAGTTGCTGGAGTTTGGTTTTGTTTGTTGCTTTTTTTTTTTTTTTAATAACACGGGGTTCATGTATGTTTATAGCAGTTCATATGCAAACCACCTCTCAGTACAGTTAGCTTCCAAAAGGTATGTAGCTTGCAGCAATGAAAGACCTAGATAAGAACTATACTTAAAACTGAAATATGTGCTAGAATACTTTGAGAACGCCGGCTTTTACTAAGTTACTTTTATTAACTTAAGGAGTTTTCCAGAACAAAGGATGTGTCAAGCTGAATAGGTAAGAGATTTTATATTTTTATACCTATATATACAACATGCAGTTATTCTACCTTTGTTTCTTTGAAAGAACATATGTTCCTGTAATTTTATTTGAAAAAACTATAGCTAGATCCTGTTTATGCTTCACAAGAGCGAAGAGAATTAAGCATCTTTCACCTTTAATGAATTTGGAATTGTTTATGAATTTTGTGAACTATATTCATGTTCAGCTAGGGAAATTTGGCACTACTAATGAGTTTTTAAATTACTATGTACATATTTAACTACTACAGTTACTGGTGGTTAATACTGTATAATTTACAGCATTTCCATAGCATGAGGTTTAGTGAAGGCTTTGTCTTATAAGAAAAAGATGATAATCTGGGTTTGACAAGCTTTTCTTCTAATGCTTGAAAACAGCTAGCTGAGACTACAAATTGAGCCTCTATTTAATGATTTTGGTGTTTAATTATACTGTAATGAGAAAGTGAAAGATGTATCCTGACATATTTCTAGATGCATGCTGTCTCATTTAAAACTTCTGTCTCTTAAAAATACAGAACCACAGATGCCATGTGTGGGTAATGAAATACTGCTGTTTTCTTTTTGCAGTTTGCAAAGGAGGTAGTTCAGATCTTTTATGCTACAAGTCAGTAAACTTTGCTTACGCAGCCAGCTCCATTCATTCTCTGAAGCTAGTCACTTCCCCTGTGGTGGCTGATAAGAATTCAGCGGCTTGAGAAGGTGGAGTGTCAGCATCCTTAGTGCTAAACTCTTTCCCAGGCATATCAGTAGCTTCTGTCCATCATCCATGCTGGAAGCTATTTTGAAAAGGAGAAATAGGAATTGGGGAAGGGAAATCATGCATCATCATTCTGACTGGAATGTATGGAAGACTTTATGCTGTTTTCACCATGTGGATTCACTAGAGAAATGACCACCTTCGATCAGCCAAGTAAAATCAAAAACTTGTTTATTTGCTGCCCGTGCCCTGCACGGTTGCTGAGACTCTGGACTTGCAGGCGCCCAAGGACAAGGAGGAACCTGCTAGTGGGCACTGCATGTGTGATCTACTTGGGATTCCTTGTCAGTCAAGTGGGTCACATTTTACCCCAGCACAAAGGAAGACACCAAAAGATCAGTTCCAGAAGTCTCCAAGATGCAGCCCAAACTCCTTTTCTGGGCATCCCACTGGATGGCACCCTGTCACCGCCCAATTTCCAGGAACCCCAGCTTGGTGGCAATGGGACCTTGCTGCCACCCAATGTAGTTTATATCACCTTGCGGTCCAAGCGCAGCAAGCCTGCCAACATCAGAGGCACAGTGAAGCCAAAACGCAGGAAGAAACATGCAACTCCTTTGTCCTATGGGCAGCACTTTCCAAAAGCCACTTTTACTGGCCGGGAAGAGGCCTTTGCCCAACACCCAAGGAAGGCCACGCATGCTGCTGGCACAATGGGAGCACCAATAGCCCTGGAAGCAGGAAAGCACAAGGATGAACACAGGCATAAAGGAATGGCAATCAGGGAGAGGGGTCACTGGAGACCTGGAGGGAATTCTGAAGCTATAAAGGCACAACCCCAGCCTGAGGAAAGCAATATCAGGATTTACAGTGAGAGCTCTCCCCCTTGGCTGAGCAAAGATGACATCCTAAACATGCGCATGCTAGCAGATTCTCGGATAGGAAGCATTCAAGGAGTATCTTCTCACAAAGCAGTCCGGGTAGTATTTGCAGGAGGTACCAGCACGACAGGAGCTGCTTGTAATCAGGGACACTGTGGCATCGTCAAAAGACCCCTCGACATCAGCGAGGTGTTTGCCTTTCATTTGGATAGGATCTTGGGGCTAAACAGGAGCTTACCTTCTGTAAGCAGGAGATCAGAGTTCTTCCAAGGTAACACATTCCTGTGGTTTTCAGCTTGCAGGTGGGATGCTGAGGTTTCCTTCCTCCTCTTGCATTAACCATGGGGCCACAGCTGTGACCTTTAACTCCTGCGAGCCTGAGAACTAACCCCATCATTACAGGGAAATAAAGCTGGTGTCTGTTTGCAATTTCTGCAGTGCAATTATTCTGTCCAAAGGATGCAGAACCTCAGTGTTTAGATCAAATACCATTAGCTGCTGAGGGCAGTAGCAGTTTCTCTTCCACAAGAGTCTGGAATGGGAGAAAAAAGAGAGGGAGTCATCTGCAGACTGCATGATGTTGTACAGGCTGCCTGGAGAGAAACTGGTGAAAAAAATCCAGAAAAACCTGTGATTCGGTGGGTATTTCTGGTTTTAAGTTTTCTCATTGTTTAGAATTGGCTTTAATGAAATATTGTTGAAGGTGAGCACAAGAATTCATCTCAAACAGGTGGTAGGAAAGGGGGTTTGTTTAGTGAGATAACCTACTCAAAGAGGTAGAGAACCTTCCTGCAGAGACTTGATACTAATGCCTCTGGGAGCTTAAAATGTTTTAAAAAGTTCTTTCCTCTCCCTAAACCAAACTTACATTTCAGTAAATTCTGCTGTTACGTTTTGAGGTTCACTATACACATCTATATGTTGTGCAAATAAATACACACAGTAATACTCTCAATATGCCTGTTACATGATTGACATAAAGTTTTCAATTGGAAATTTGATTTTTAACCTTTAGTGAAATTAAAGGTAGATTTCAGACATGTAATGTAACTTCTAAAATTGTTATCTTGTTAAACAAGATAGCCTAACTGCTATTTTTGCAGTCACAGATCACGATCCAAAAGGAATACGTTGCATTTTAATGAATCATTGCTAAAGTGGCTGGCTATGTGTTTGCTGTTCATGTCTTACTGCTGAATCTAGCTTATACCAAATAGTTTTGTATCAGTCTACTTAAAAAAAAAAAAAAAGTAATAATGCCTTTCTGAAGTCTGACAGCAGGAAGATGACCCAGTGATCTCCAATTTCTTCCTGCTTTGTAGATCTTCCCTTTGGCAGCCTGTACAATAATGTGAATGAATCTCTAGGAAAACAGTTTGGAGGCTTCTGAATATTATTCATACTTCCAGAGAATGGAAGATACATTATGTGTAGTTTATTTTTAGGAACAAGATTTATTGCTACAGGGCTGTCATAAGGCATTAAGATAGTTCGGTTGGAGGAACTCTGCAGAGTATGGCTGCAGAGATGACAGACTGCAAGCCTCTGAAAACTGCTATTAGGCTAATTGTGCATTATGTTGCTCAGTATCTGTCACCTTACAATATGCTTTGGACTGTCTGGGGCAGAGCGTCATTCTGCTCTCTTTAATTTGTTTTTTTCTCATAACTGGCTATGTTCCTGTAGCAAGAAGAGTGTTGCTAGGTGATGAGAAGTAATGTTATTTTGGTCTCACTTCATTTTTTCCAGCTAAAGGGTGAGCAGAGCATTCAGAACAGTTACTGTACCTTGCCTCTCACCATTCCTTTGGCCTGGAAATATCCTGGAGCTCAGATGCCTAATGCCTACTTGCACTCATTTCTATTTACATGCTTATGTTTGGCATAATCTGGAAAACATCTGTGTTGAGCAAATGAGCAAAAATATATTCTTTAAAATAGTATGAACAATTAGCTCATTTTTGTAACCCACAGGCATTTAAGTTAAGATTAGGTGGGCACTGTAAAGTTTTGTGAATCATGGTTATTCACGTGGAATTGAGAGCAATGCAGGATTAAGAGACTGTGCATGTGTGTATGAACGTACACAGTTTCTGGGCTGACATCTCTCTTCACTACACATCCCTTTAGCTTGCCTCAGTTGTGATGTGATCTAACAGGACATGTTTGATGTAGCATTAAAATCTTAAAAAAATGGGCTTTTCAAAACTGTCATTCATTTTGTCAAAAGCAGTTTCAAAGAACTGCTTAGCAAATCCCTACGCAGGTTCTGTTTCCCCTATTCTCATAAATCCCCCACTGATTTTTTCTTTTTTTGAAGTCTAGCAAAATACTGTGTGCAAGTCCTCTGTCTGCTGTCCTTCCATTCCCTGGCTGTAAACCCTCTTAAATGCTAACCAAGTTTTTGTATATTATCTTTTTCTTCCATCAGGTATAATTTTCTCATATTTTGGCAATCATAGGATAGTTTGGGTTGGAAGGGACCTTCAAAGGCCATCTAGGCCAACCCCCCTGCAATGAGCAGGGAAATATTGATCTAGATCAGGTTGCCCAGAACAACATCCAGCCTGGCCTTGAATATCTCCAGAGACGATGCATCAATCACCTCTTTGGGCAACCTGTGCATGTGTTTTACCACCGTCCTTGTAAAGAATTTTTCCCTCATGTAAACGAATTGGCCAAACATAAAATCTCTAGGGAGTATTACAGACTAGGAGAGTACTATTCTGGGCATATCCAAGCAGTCATTATTGCAGTTGCTACCTACAAGGTGTGAAAAATGTCAAGAGCTCCAAAACACATATAAAGAAAGATAAGCCTGTAAACCAACAAGAAATAAGCATATAGGACAAGGGGTAATGGGTTCAAACTTAAACAGGAGAAGTTCAGGTTAGATCTAAGGAAGAAGTTCTTTACTGTGAGGGTGGTGAGGCCCTGGAATGGGTTGTCCAAAGACATGGTGAATGCTTCATCTCTGGTAGTGTTCAAGGCCAGGTTGGATAGGGCCTTGGACAGCGTGGTCTAGGGTGAGGTGTCCCTGTCCATTGCAGGGAGGTTGGAACTGGATGAGCTTAAGGTCCTTTCCAACCCTAACTATTCCATGCTTCTCTAAAACCATGTCTAATGTGGAGAAAATTGAGGCTGACCCTTGTGTGTTTGAGTTTTAGGATAGTCATGTTAATACCAGGGGACCTAGAATCTTCATTATTTTATCACCCTAACCTGAGGAACAGAAGAGACATATGTGACCTTGCTTGGTGCCACAGCCTCAACAGAATTAGTTTGCATGTATTGCCCCTGGCTCAGCAACAGCGTTTGCAGGGTAGGATGATGCCAGTGTAAGGGCTTGAGCTACAACTGCAGTAACACAGGCTGGAGCTGGTTTATGTCTGTTTTGCACCAGGCAGCTGTAGGGATAGGACTCTGGCTGCTTGCATCATAGCAACAAGGCTGAGCTTTTTATTCAGCTTTTGGTACAAAATACACAGCTATTGCTGTGCAGTTTTGTTGTGCCGCTTACTGAGGGCCTCAATTACTGCAAGCTGACAACCACCCTCCTTCCCCCTCTGTATGTCAGTCCCTCTCATCTTTCCACACTAAGTTTTCCTCTCCTGCTAATACATGGGCAACTAAACTGCTACTTTCAAATGTGGCAGTGGTAAGCTGTACTGCTTTCATGTGAACAGTGAGAAGTTTGATAAAGGGTTTAAAGTACCTCATGAAAGATTTGCTCTTTTTAGTGATGTTCTCATGGGCACGTTTGAAATTATTTTGACTATTTTGAAACTGATGTGGGGTGTGGATATCTACTGTGATGCTTATGTTGAAGCCGCCATGCAGCGATACATTACTTAACTGCACATGAAGCAGTTTGAGTACCTTGAGGCAGTCTAGTCTCATCAGTCTGAGGCTTCATCTGTGTTACCTTAGTCAACTTAGAACATCCTGAGCAAGTAGCTCCTAAGGGCCTAAGACGTTTTTAGAAATGTTTTGATGTTTAAAAATGTATATGAATTACTGGGAGGCTGGTTCCAGCACAAGTTTTGAAGAATCTTTCCTGTACAATTTTGCAGATCATCTTTAGACAATGAAGTAGATATATAGATATAAAATGGCAGATGAAAATAAAATGAAGTAAGTCATCTTAGGGCAAGATTCAGTGAAATGCAGCTGCAGCAACAGAAAGGCAGTAGCCCCTTGAGTTTATATATAAAGCTGATTAGGAAAGAAGCACAAGCAGAACACATTTATTATGGACATTTATTATGAACTTAATCTGAAGTGTACTCAGCCTCCTCAGTTTTGGCTGTATCAGTCTGGAAGCTCTAATTCTTAGCCAGCCCTTACTTTTCACCATTCAGTTGACTTCATGAGGTTTCAATCAGAAAAGCTCCACTGATTTCAGTGGTGTCGTGCCAATTCATGCAGCTACAAATCAGACCTCTTATTCTGCTTTAGTTCAGCACCTTTATGTTTTTCCTGCAAGTGTCAAAAATTTGAGTCACTGCTCTTTACTGAAGCTGCTGTTTCATATTCCTGTAATTCAGCTTATGTTACAGAGTTGAAAGATTTTATTTTGGCTCATCTTTTCTGCTCCCATTTCCTCCGAAATGCAAACATTTCCTGTATTTAACCTCAGTCTTTTAAAAATGTTTTTGTATCTTAATGGAAACTGGCAAGATATTATTCATATTTTTCAAGTATTTATATTACTATTGTTTATCATGTCCCTTTTGCGTAGACAGGAGATGTTTATTTTGTTAGGAGACCATTTTTGTATTTGGTTTGTGGAAGAATTCATGAATAGCTACATAAGCTGTTATTTGAGATATAATAGATCAGACTTGATCCTGTAGAAAGCTGTCCCTTTTTTTTGGTGGCAATTACCAGTGTTTATGTAGACTTTCTCCAACTGGCTTGGAAAAGTAGCTTAGCTGATAGTTCGCCTGACTTGGCTAAAGTAATCTTCATTGTAAGTGATGGAGTCAGAGTCAGGAAATAGGTAAGATTTCACAAATTAATTTCCTAAATATTTATTAAGGCACCTCAGTGGAAGAAGCCTGGTTTTCAGGAGTGCTCAGTGTTTCTTTTTAATATTGCATGAAATATATTTATCAGTTCTTACACTGGGAAAGCTCAATTTTAAATTCTTTCCTGAGGTTTGTTCCTGTAGTGTTTCTGTGCGCACTGTGCATTAAAATTACTTTGACATTTGTTTTCAACTCTTAAAAATCATCACCAATTCACTAGAAACAGAGAGAAATTACATCATTTTCTCACAGTGAGCTCTTTATCTATAAGCTTTTTAAGAGTCTGGTTTAATATATGACTTTGTACGTTCATCTCCTGCTTCAGAGAAAGCCTCCCATATGAATGCTGAGGGCATTCATAATGTCTATGGTTCTTCCATTCCTGTGGTATCTGCTTTTACATGTAGAATAAGACCACATTAACCAAAGGATGTCAAGTTATTAGTCCGTGGCCATTTTTCCTTCCACATCTGTAATATAGTATAATTGCTGATCTTGAGCAACGTCTAAAGAATGATTGAGTAAGACTGACAGTATTGTACTATACTGATGATCTGTTTTTCTGTTTTCAGATGGTCAAGCCTGTCCTGTTATTCTCTGGGATTCATCACTGAGTCCAACAGATAACAGTACCCATTCTTCAGTGAGATTAACCTGGGGGCAGTATCAGCAGCTATTGAAGCAGAAATGCTGGCAGAATGGTAAAGTTCCAAAAGCTGAGTGGGGCTGTACTGAAATCCATCATCATGAATGGTCCAAGATGGCACTCTTTGATTTCCTTCTGCAGGTAAAACATTTACTGAATGCAACTATCGGCCTCAAAAGTCATATGAGCATACATAGGAGACTATTTTTTTTTTTTCAGTGAGGAAGAGAGGTATTTGTACAGTTTGAACTTTTTTTTCCATTTGTTTCTTATGATTAAAATATCCAAAATTAGATTTATAATCAGGGAATGAGATCAGGAGCTTGACTGACTCACTTTCTTGAAAAAAAAAGGAAGCAAAGGCTTTTGGCTTTGTTTTACTTTGCTTTGGTTTACTTCACCTTGAGGCAGGCATAGTGTTTCTTCTTGACTCCTTAGTCTCTCCAAATATAGTTTGTGACTATGTTCACCACTGTAAGCCTCTTTCAACCGAGTGGTGCTTCCTGCCCCTCCCCAGTCCCCTGAGGTCATTTAAATGTTTTTGGTCAGCTGAAATCTGGATCAAGATAACAGCTATAGTGGCTAATTTTCCTTCCTTTTAAAAATATAGCCAGTGACTTAGGAAAGAGTAGAGCAGCAACTGATGAATGATATGGCTGCTGTTCTTTACTTAGGTATTGCACATAATCATTAGCTTTCCAAATAACACCTGACTAGGGCTCTGTCCTGTAGGATCATGAGTGGCTACAGTTACAGCAATTAGCAGAGTATTAATACACTCCCTGTAATAAGGATCCAACTGAACATCTGGTTGGAAGCTAATTTTATGGCTTCCTGAGATACGGCAATACTTCCAATTGTCCTTACCTGCTAAGACAGGTCCGAGTGACTGAGCCTCCTGGAGCACTTGCTGGCTTATTTAAAACTTCAGCTAGCGCTAGTTTAATTTCTGCAGACTGGTTATGTTAACCAGAACATATGAGTCTTCTCTAAAAATAGATTATCACTCATCTAATGACTCCATCTTTAGTCCCACTATGAGCAAATAATTCGTAGAAACAAGTATAAAGTCATAGGTGGATTACTCTGATACTAAACTAAAGTCATGCCCCTATAGGAATAATACAGATTGTGTCAACGTTTTCATGCCATTGTCTTCTTGTTGAACAGTTTAAAGATTCTCTCAATTTTTGTGTTGATTTTAATTTTAAGGTCTTCTAAGACAAGTTTTTATTATTCATAATAAACCTCCTATTATCCAGAAGGAACACTCAGGTAAAATAATATAAAACAGGATTGAGCTTTACCTGATAAAAAAATTACACTTGCAATGGTAGCTGGTATCAGAGTAATGCATACCTCCAGCTGCATACCAGACAAGAACATGCATACCAGAAAGTGAGTGAAAGTGCATGTTACGGTTCTTAAAGATTAAAATTTTACCTGGATTCTTTCAGATTTAACTTTAAAGTTTATCAGTAATAGAACATGGAGACTCTAAACCAAAAAATGCCAAGAAGGGGTTCTAAGTTTGAGGAAAAAAATAAAATCTGTGCTTCATGAGCCATTCAGAAATAAGAATGATGAAAAGTATTCTCTGTTAAATCTACTCCCCTTAGAAGAAGTTTGGTACCTGTGATAGGTGTTCCTAATCTCTGCTTTCAAATACTATAAAACATGGGAGCAGGCTAAGAAATGCTTATAACTGGCTTTTACTTGTGTTCTGCAATAAGTCAAGTAAAATAAGGTCATTAAAAGTAAAATGGCTCTTTTAATTTTGGGGGTTTGAGCCTCTCATGTACGTAAGTATAGGACAAAAAACAATGGTAAAAGATTAAGGTTGCAGCATCGATTCCAGAGTTCCCATCATTCTGTCTTAACACAGGAATGATGCAAGGTACTGTAAAGTGGCTGTCTGTAATAATATGGTGTCCTCATCTATTTAATGCATGTAAAGTGTGGTGCAACTGGATTAGGGCTATACATCAAAAGAGCATCTAGAGGGACTCTGTGTCACTTTTGGCAAAGCCTTTGAGTTGAATGAGGTCATGTGAGCTAGAACACTGCAAGCAAGCAGGGCTCTGGTACCTGCAGATGCTGAATACTGCTCATGAAAGGAGAAAGAGGAAGAGAAATCTGTTTCATCAGGATTTTCACTTCTGAAAACCAACATTACTAACAGGAGTAGTGGCACTACATATTTAAGAAAAAGCAAAACAACTCCCAGACATTCATTTGATGAACAAAATCAAGAGGCCTTTTCAACACACGGTACAGTTCTACATCAGCAGAAGAGTCCTAACACTTTGCTGGTGACAAACTTAAAAGTATAATTTTAAAGGTCTTATGTGAACACTAATGCTTTTATGCTTAGAGCAGTTTGATGAGTTTGCATACAACAAATAAGGACAAAAATAATTATTTACCTTTGCTAAGCTACTCATTAAGACTTAGATGCCCTGGCTAGGCTTCCACTTTGTAAGCACCTGCCAGCAGGAGCTGGAGCCTGGAACAACCCCATTGCAGGCAGGACAGGCAGGGTCAGCAGCCGGAGAGGCAACCCAACAGGGAAGAAAGTTGCAGGTCCGTTGATAGCCTAGTAAGTGTAAGGCACAGACAACTCCAATGCAAAGAAACAGGAATCCCAAGCAGCAATAGAGTAGCATCAGGTAGCAAAACAAGCAGCAGACACCACCTCTCTCAAGGGCTCAAAATAAGGCTGTAGCTCCAGGCCTGAGCTTAAATGGGACTCATGGGCAGAGGGGGGGGTGTGTGTGGAGGTCCCAAGTGAGGCTGTTCAGGGCAATTAAGGCCTATCTGTGTGCTCAGGGCCTGGCAATGTTGTGTATTTACTCCCATCTTGTCAACAAGGGTAGAAGCACTTTCAAGGGGTGATTTATTCTTCCTGTATTAGATGGTTATCCTAAAATGGCATCCTTTGCTCTGGGGGTGCCTTGCTCTTGTCATTGTTTATGAAAGGGAACATAAACAACTAAGTCAGAAGAGATGCTTAACATTTACACCACTAAAGTTAGACCAGATGTATTCCTTCCCATTAAGTGCTGTGCAATGAATAAGCAAGGGCTCATATAGGAAAAAATAGCCTGGATTGTCATGCCATTAAAGTATATACCAAGTGTAACTCAGGGAGTCTGCTCTGTGATTATAAATGTACTCTTCTTGCATTTTGTAGCTTCTGGTGGTTTGCTGTGCCCCTTACTAATATTTCAATTATTTTGCATACTATTAGTCTGTTAGGTCCCACATTGGAGACCCTCTGTGTGTGTGTCAGGCTGTGCTATTTCTGTTGTTCTCTAGCAGAGAAAATGTAAAAAAACTGCAGCCTTCTGAAAAAAAATGGGATTGTATTCATCATCTTTTTATTCCAGTTATGCAGTGATATTGTTCCACTATTTCCAAAGATTTTCTACTGACAGAAATCATGGCTATAGCATGGATGAAATATAGTCTGAGAAATTTCTTCTGACAACACATGAAGTATGGGCACCAGGTCTTCATGCCGTTTCACTGCTGACTTTAATTATACTTATCCTGAGCTTGTTTTCCTGTCAGCTATGTTAGTGAGCAATGTCTCACAGTGACACTTTGCCCCAAATACTTTGATATTGTTTTCACTTGGCACTCTGCTGTACTTTGTTTTAGATATATAGTCGACTAGACAGAAACTGCTGTGGATTCAAACCTCTCAGGGAGGATTCCTGCATGCAGCAAGGACTGAAGCTGAAATGTAGTGATCAAGATGCTGTCCACCTTACACACATAGTTCAGAGACACCATGACCAGAGGCACTTAGTCTTTATAGACAATAAGGGTTTCTTTGACAGAAACGAGGACAATCTTGACTTCAAAATACTGCAAGGAATCAATGAGTAAGTTTTATTAATTTTGTAAAAAGATTGATATTTTCTTCCCAGTTTGAGCAGGAGACATGCCAAGTTACTGAAATTGATATCATTGGCCTAAGACATTTACAGAGTGTGTCTAAAAGTGTATGAGTAATCCCACTGCTGTAAAAGATACAATTAACATGTATATGGACTTTTAGCTGAGTCGCAGTGTATATTCATAGAATTGATTGCTAAACCATAACATAAATATTGCAATTCAGCGTAATGGCAAAGCTGATGAATTTCTTTGTGTTTTTCCAGATTCCCTGAATCTGCAGTTTCAGTGCTGAGAAGCCAGCGTTTACGTGAGAAGCTGCTACAGTCTTTGTTCCTTGACAAAATATACTGGGAGAGCCAAGGAGGCAGAAATGGGATTGAAAAGCTTATTGATGTAATAGAAAGAAGGTCCAAAATTCTTCTTACTTATATAAATGCACATGGAGCCAAAGTATTGCCGATGAATGAATGAATCAGTATTGTTTCTGTCGGAGAGTCTTTAAAAAAATTGCATGAACCAAAACCTGACAGTAAAATTAATTTAATTTGTAGGATTATTTAATTTTTCTTCCCCCAAACTTTCAAGTTTATTTTTAAGTAAGAAATCTTACATGGTTTAAAAGCAACATTTAAATGTCAGCTACAGCTCATCTCAGTGCAGTCTCTTCTATGTCACCAGTGAAATGAAATGAAAAATAACCAACTGGTACAATAAGTAATGTAATAATATGTAGGTACCATGAACACTTCTTCTGTTAAACTGTTTGAAAATTAGCAGAGGGATTTTCAATACATTAAGCTGGATCACTCTTACTTTCCTCATTCATGTAAGTGAAAGTTTAATTGCAAATTTGAATGGGAGCAGATATTTTTAAGCACTTAATACATTGATGAAAACTGTCATCTCATCTTGCTGAAACATATCTAGTACAGAAATTTGTTTTGGCTTTTTGATTATAAATATTAAAATGCCAACTTTTCCAAAGGCTTAGTTTGTTTTATTTTATTTTGATCTTTGAAATCTGAGGACTGAATCTGACTCTTTTAAATGTAGGAGTGTTTGCACTGGACATGAGAGAAATTTAAAACAGTGAGAACAACATGGCTTTAACAACAATAATTAATTTGAGAAAACTTTTACCTGTTCCGTATGGAGTACAATTTGTCATGAGTTGCTCGTTACAGTGTACTATTTCCAGTACAGGTTGTTTGGATGTATGGGTGAAGGTTCTGCCTGTTGATTAACTGTCTATTGGTTAACTCACAGAATTGTCCTTTATTACCATTAGTTTTAAAAAAGGAATTCACCTTTAGCCTTGTGTGAATATGGTGCTAAATAAGTGTACATTTTACAACATTCTTGTCAATATTTTTTATAGACTATTATCAAAAAGCAGACCTACTAAGGGTGTGAGTGTTGTTAAACTCATCACAGAAAACATTTGTGCTGCTTGCCCGTCTCTAGCCAGAAGTTCAGGATCTGTTTTTCCATTAAGATTGACCACTGCAAGGGGATGATTCTAGCTGATGATTCACCCCAAGTACTGCTGCAGGTAAACTAGTTAGGGAAGGCTGGATAAGCTCTTTGGATTCTTAACCTTCATCTACTCCAGAAATAAAATACAAACTGATATAGTCTATCATGACATATACCTTTTACCTGTCTATTTAGAAATACTCATACTGTCTTTCTAGAGAAATATCTATTATCTTCTTGTCATAAGATAATGGCAGAAATTGAATACTTTCATAGCTACTTTTTTCATTATACATAGTAAAAAAATATAGGGTGTGTAAGATTTTAAAATACTTTTTAAGGTGCTTGTGTAATGATATTAATGAGAAACTAAAATGCTTTGTGTCAATGTTAATGTGGATGGGTGAGTTTAATGTTTTAAGTAACTACAATTCCACTGCAGCTGAAATAGATTTTCTTTCTTAGCATCAGAAGAGCTATTAACAATAATTGCATTACTAGAAGAAATAGATCTCAGTATAAGCAGAGTTAAAATATTTAGTAAAATTTTAACAGCATGGCCATCTAAATAGTCTTTTATTTTATTCTGTCAGCAAAGGCAGATAAATTTGTAAAAAATTCCTAGAACTTAACTACTGCCTTGAGAGGACATGTTTTAGAGTGCCTAGGACTTCTTATTAGCACCAAAGTAGAATTTTATAGGATTTTCATGTTATCCCTTTCTTAAAATATTGTAATTTATTAGCCACACAATTTCTATAACAGAAAGAAAAGTATTACTATAGCTTACACTGTGAACAGAGCCTAGAGAAAGAAATAATCAGCTGGATCCATTTCACATGGAATTGCTCTTGCAGTAAATTTCACTTTTTGATGATCATTATGATCAATTTATCTCATTCTTTATCTTACCAGTTTTCTTCCTGCTAGATACCTGTTCAAATGGATTATTATATGCTGCTGGGAGTAAAAGAAAGGCATGACTCTCAGCTGCTTTGAACTTTGATGAGGGCTAAGTGAGTATACAAGAATGCACCTGATCGTGAAAAAAGTGCCATGAGAGCTTTGCCTTCTAACTCCATTTCTTCTGGACATGGACTATTGTTTCCTTGAGCATGATACATCCTTTTTTATTTGCCTGGCAGTTCAGTGCCAGCTCTTAAAGCAGCAATGTAACTGCCAGCTAGTAAGTAATTGCCCTGAAGCTGACCTGGAACAATGTCTCCTGGTAGTCCTGAGTTTAAGAGGTTCAAATAGCCATGATGCTGTGCAGTACTTGAAAATTTGCCCAAGCATGAAAAGCGTAACTGTAAAGAGAAGATATTCTGGAGACAAATACTGCAAATGAATGTCTTTAGGGAATGAATGGTAATTTTTACTAGACATTTTTTGTGTCAGAGGCATATAGATCAAGTTCTCTTTAAAGCTAATTTACAGGGCAAAACAATATCTAGACACATAAAAAGTACAAGGAGAAGGATAGGTGAATTTCCCTGTGCTGCCCAATATGGATCAGAAAGGCACCGTCTTCTCAGAGCTGCTGCAGGCACCAGTGAGTCCAGAGCGAATGGCCAAGGCAGACTGTGATGCATGCATGACACTTTCCAAGGGTGAAGGAATACTTTCCCTGAATGTCTGAATTTGGGTCTAGGGCAAAGAGTTCTGTATCTTTCTTTCACCTTACAATGGCATCTTAGTGTTGCCCTGTGTGCAGCTAGAGGCTCTGCTTTCTGTGCTGTATTTCTTATGCATGCAAACACTCTTTTAGTCTTCAGGAAAGTCAAGAGAGGCTTTGTGAGATTGGGCAGTGGAACTGGACTGTAAATTGCTTCTAATTCTCTAGCATTGATAACAAACTCCACAAAGTGCCTTTTCTCCATAGTGTTTATCCCGTTGCCGTGGAGCTTGGTACTTGAATCCAGTATTGTTAATAACACAAAGTGTGGTTATGAGTTCATACTAGCCAAGTTCTGTGTTTTTTTACAAAAATGAAGAATTTTGTAAATTTTTAGAGCATTTGTATAAATGTGCCAGTGTGAAAAAAATACAACAGAAACACTTTGCAGAGCTTGTCTATTTGCTGCTACTACATTAAAGATATCTGCTCTCCCTTTGGTAACAGGAGTAAAGTTCATTCAGTCCACTTCCTTTTAAAACAGTGTGACGTTGGACTGACATTCCTGCACTGTAGCCTAACTAATATTAACCAACAGGAAAAAACCCAAAGAAGCCTTACTCTACCTATAGTGGTGACTGACAGCCAAGAAACTGTGTTTTAGCCATCTTTGCTGGGCTGTCTTCCATTTATGGGCATAAGGGATCAGACAAATATTCATGTTGCACATTACTCAGAAGGGTGTAACCAACAGCAACAGTCCAAAACCTGTGGGTAGGAAAAGACAGTTATGTCATTCTTGAGTCTGCCTGAAAGCCAGAACCACGTGAAATGGAATTACTAAGAAAGTCAAGAGAGTTTGCTGATTTCATAACAGTGGAAGACAGAGCTTAAAATAAGTAGCCCAGACACAGATGCTTTAAAATTCCTCAGGAGCCTGCCAGCAACTTAATAATCTTAAATGTTTCAGAAGGTGAGGACATGAAAACTTTTGTGGAGCACTGTGAGAGCAGTTTCCTTCTTTTTTGGTGTGTATTCTGTAATGCACTATGTTAGAAAAGATAAATTCCATGGTTTCAAATGAGCAAATACAGATTTAGGGTACATTAAGGGACAAGATTCCAGTAGCAATTCTGGGAACACTTTAATGCAAGTGTGTGTATGTGAACACAAACATACATGTATGTGTATATATACCTTGGCTTGTTTCTATAAAATGGTCAGTTTGCCTAATAAAAAGTTGTTCATACAATTTGCTGTTTACTTGTAAAATTGTATTTGTAAGTCAAATTTTGGGTGTATACAAATTGAAGTTTAAACACAACATTATTATGAATGAAGCTTTTGTTCTGAAAGAATTAACTCTTCCCTTGCTAAGATATTTATATAATCTTGAAAGTTTTCTACTTAACAATTGTAGAGAAAAACAGCAATATGTTTTTATCTGAGTTAAACTGCCAGTACCAACTCAGATATTTTTATGGATTTCTATATTAGATACTGAATTTCCACTTTCTTTTTGAATTTTGAAGTCAATTTATTTGTCTTTTTATGAGTAACAGTAAGGACATTATCACAAGTAATTAATTGTTTGAATCTCTGCTGCTATTGCCATATAATGTCCAGGAATATACAAAATAAAATAGTTATCTTCACCAGATTGTCAGTTCAGATCTGTAAGTTGCTTTAATAAAACTGTAATACATACTAATGTAATATGTGGGTCATTAGATACTATTTAGAAAGAACTATGGCCTAGAAACTGCTTCTTCAGAGACACAGTCCAAACCAGATTATGAAGCTCTTCCTGTGGAAATATTTTCTAGCTGTTTACTCACAAGACTTGTAATTCTTTCTTACTAAAATGATTCACTGTAGCCGTGGAGCTTCTGGTTATGGCAGCACTAGCATTTACTGCCTTCTTTAGCCATTCTGACAATGCCTGCTTACACAAACACTGAGCAGAAAAGGCCATGCCCATTTACGATGCCAGAACAGAAGTATTGGTCAATGACTGGTAAATGTTATAATAGACCATGAGTAAGTACAGGAATAGGAGAAAGACACTGAATTCCATGTCAAATAGAAACTCGCACAGAGTTAAAGTAGCCCAAGAACTTTTGGTCTCTTAAATTTACATTTTTTCCACGATCCAAGAGAGACTAATGGGAAACACAGAAATGTTGAAACATTTTTAAACATTCTCTTTCCCACACAAAGTAATTTGGTTTATTTTTTTAAAAACATTATTTGTTTTTGCACATTACTGAATACTTCAGGCTAAATTCTATCAGGTATATTTGTGTAAATTCATTACAATTCCACTGAATTATCCCCTTTCCAGATAATACAGTTTAAGTCAGTTAGGTTAATCCATATTCTCAGAGATCAGAGCACTGAACTCTAAGACCAAAATGTGATCTTAGGAGGGGGACAAATAAGGAGAGTTGCCTGAGATATAGCACGGGTATAGAACTTGGCATGCAAGAACCTCACGAAACTGAGTAGGTCCAACCCAGCAGATGAGCTTCAGTATGGATTAATATAAAGGCTTTACTTTGTTGCTGTTTAAAACCTTGGAGAGGTTTTAAATCTTGGATTATGTGTGCAGCCTGGTCTCTACATCTCAAGACATATGAAC